GTTCTGAGAGGTCATGGTAGGCTAGCATGCGCACTATACCGCAAAGTTTCGAACAGCTTCATCAACAAGAACGTCAATTACAACAATTTCTGAGGTGTCTTTATAATCATGTCCAGAAGTGTAAACTTACAAGAAACGTCCGTTTGACCGAAGCGGTTTTTCGAATGAGTCCTACCGCTTTGAAAAGCATTAAACGGTGATTTTAAATCAAATTTTCATTATCTGTCAAGCCCCTCTGGACACCGAGTTAGTAGTGCCCTTTTTAGGCCTCGGACAGAGATCACGGGATTTGATCGTCGCGATTCAATCGCTACAAGACAACTGTTACGAGTTCACTGCATGCCGATTAGCTTGCATTTCGGTTGTGTACATACTTTTCCAGCACGAACTTTTTGAATGTAAAGTGAAAATAAATAAAAATCGCGGCGATTAAATCGCGACGATCAAATCGCGTGAACTCTGTCCGAGGCCTTAGGGAAAAATGAACGCGGTACCTAGGTGAAATCAACCGTTAGGGTTTTTCCTGCGTTCAAGTAGAACAGTACTGAGTATAAGTATATTAGACAGGAATAACCTATCAAATGAAGTGCTCTGAGGAATCCACACTAGACCATTTGAGCAACTCTGGACGAATTTTGTTCGACTTGCGTAGTCAATTTTTCAACCCATAGATACAAGTCGGCGTCCAAAAGCATTTGGTAGATAATGAACTCAGATTTGGAACCAACATCCGTTGCTCTTCAAAGTGGTATAGTCGTCCTCACCCCACTATTCGGCTCAGTGGACGAATTCGAACTCAATCTGGAGCAGGCCGGTCGCGGCAGAGCGCGGCACCCGAACCCTCAGTTCGAAGCTATGCATATTTCTTTTTGGTTTTTTTACACCGTTGCTTGTTGATTTATGTACTATGTCAATGTTGACAGCCAATCAAATTTGCTTATTGTTGTTAAGTGTTGTTTCGCGCAGTTATGCTCGGTTTTTGTTTAGGTGAATTTATTAGGTCAGAAACTAAGTTTTGCAACTGGTCTCATAATTTCCCTCTCACTCATGACGCACTCAAATTTTGCCACTGCGTTGGTTATTACGTAAGCTACAAGCGCAGCTGCTGTTCTATCAAATCCTGACGTCCCAGTGAGGGTTACGGTAGTGCATGGTATGAAGGGGAAAAATTCAAAGTTTGACGGATTTGGCTGAAACATGGCATAGGGGCGTTATCCTACATGTTGATCACGAAAACGATAGTGAAATTGCGTGATAAAAGCTTTTTTGTAAGATTACTATAGGTGTGCGATATGGGGTCTCACCATAAACAAGGAAAATGGCGTTGATTCAACAAGTAAATATGATATTCGCGTTCAAATAACCTTACTATGTGAAGTCTCGGCGAATTTGAGCTTCGGACTCTTTAGTCGTTCGCAGTCGTCCCCAGCAGCTCTTGCGTACATCGACTCGTTCGAATTGTGAGGACGCCAAATCTCGACATGCCCTTGAATTTTGTTTCTTTCTTACTAGGCCAAGGGAGTCAACCTTCAGCAACAATTTGAGAGTGAAGTTATGAAATCAGTTGCAAAACTTAGTTTCCAGCCTAATATTTAAGCTTCTAGAAACGATACAGATGAAATTTTTGTAACATTGATCACTAAAACAACACTTCTGCACGTGTTACTTATAAAAGAAAAAGATTTACAACAGAGGTTTCCCATCTGTATTGTTCCTGTAATAACTAGTACTCAGACTTGAAGTAACGAGCATAGCAGTACAAAACAATGCTCGACAACAATAAAATATTAGGTCGTTCCGAAAGTAATGTCGCTTTTTTCAAATGAACGCCACATTTCATGGAATTAAGATTTTCAAGAGGACTTAGGACATTCCATGCAGCATTTTATCTTCTTTCTAATTGTTGTAATTCCATTGCATATTATTCAATGAGCTCCCGAAAAATTACCAAAATCTGCGACTCATGCTTTTTGCCATGTCAAGTTCGGCTATTTTTTGAGTTTTTGTGCCCATTCTCCGGAAGTACAAATGACAGTTAGATAGTGCAAACCTTACAGAACACAGAGTAATTCTTTTTTTTCCTTGGCTTGCTTCTTAGAGTTTCTGGAACGAATTTTTCAATGCTATCAAATTCCAAATTTGGTCATCTCAAACCTCAAAGAACATCAATCGGCAAGCAACTGAGGTGTCATTCGACGCAGCTTTTTCTCCTCTTTCTACCAGTTGTTTTTTGTTTCCTATTCATCAAGTTTTCCGAAATCAAATCATCATAATTCAGTTTTCCAGGGCGCCCCAGTCTGTACCCGGAATATTCAAAAGTTGCTAATCTGAAGCGGTGAATGCTCATTTGGTTTGTAAAATTAGTGACGAACCATATTCCATTTTTGTAAGTTTCAAAATCAGAGGAAATATTGGTTTTTGATGCATTTGTGTCTGAGCCGAGCCTGCCAAAATTCGGTGGTTTCATCAAAAAATCGATACAAAAATTATGATGAGCTCTGAAAAGTAGAAAAAAGTAGTGCTGTTTTCTGTTGGGTTTGCTCTATCCAATCATCACTTGGACTCCTTCCGAGAGTTGTTAAAAATTTTTAAAAAATTGTGTAACTTGGCGTTTTGAAAAAGCATGGGTCGCAGGTTTTTCGAAAGGTTATTGAATTTTGTGCAGCGCTTATATAACCATTAGAAAGAGAATGAATTGCTGCATCAAATGCTGCCAGAATCTCGTACACATCTTTGTTCCACGAGATGTGGCGTATGACTGAAAAAAGCGACATTACTTTCGGAACGACCTAATAGTATTTTGATAACGAACATACTTATAACACGAAGATTGACAAACAACTACAGTGAAAAAACCATAAAGAAACATGCGCAAAACCTGAACTGAGGGTTTAGGTGTCGCGCTCTGCCGCCACTGGCCTGCTCTCGTTCAAATTCGAATCCGTCCACTGACCGACTACTGGGGTGAGGACGACTATATAGCAGCCACACAAAAATGCCACTTCAACCAAACGGCCTCCCTTGTTAGGTGGCCCTAAATTTGTGAACCTCAAAATAAACTTGGTCTAGAGCAATTATTTGACGTCAGTGCGACAACTCTGCTTAGCAGAGGCTCGCATTGGTTCTACTATCCAAATACCTTACTCATTCTCGCATAATGCTTTAATTGAAACCCACAGCGCAATGTCGATTATCACGAACCATTGCGTCACCTTTGCTTCGCAGAGGCTCGCACTGGCTATACTATCTATGTGCCTTGCTCATGCTTGTAAAATCTTCTCACTGGAACTCACCGCGCTATGCTGACTACCACGAATAAGATGTAAACAACTACTCATTTAGAAAGTTTTTTTCACGTGAGTTCGGTGATTTCGCGTGGATGAAACTTTTCGCAGGAAGACAAACACAAATTTGGATGGTTTTTGAATTTTTCATGGCTTGGTAGACAGACAAGCACACACACACACACACACACACACACACACACACACACACACACACACACACACACACACACACACACACACACACACACACACACACACACACACACACACACACACACACACACACACACACACACACACACACACACACACACACACACACACACACACACACACACACACACACACACACACACACACACACACACACACACACACACACACACAAACGTAAACAATCCTTAGCCCGTTATTATAAGGTCTTGATTGATAAAATGAACAGTTACTCATTCCGAATTTCATGTGAAATCGGTAATCGAATGGATGAAACTTTTTGCAAAAGAACAAACGCAGAGATGAATAAGTTTTTGATTCTTCTATGGTTTTGGTAGTCGCCATAAGAACAGTAATCACCGTGAGGTACATTTTTGTGCAAAAATCTCCTCATATGCTCTGGTAAAACCTTGGCAAATTGACCATTTGAGCAATCAATTCTTTCCAGAGCCGTTTTTGTAAAACAGTGGATTTTTGATCGCTTTTTAGGCCTAAGCCCATGGCTTGCGCATTTACTCGCCTTACACATCCGCGATTCTGCAAAAAGGAAAATTACGGACCAAGTTTTGCGTCCAGGAGCCAAGTGGATTCGTTTGACGTGTGACTTTCGAAGGATCCGCTGAACGGATCCGCTCATGCTTTGGTATATTGGTCTTACATGCTGGAGACAGGTGTTGTGCAAAAAATGGGAAAAATGGGCTCAAGATGTTGGCTGGCAACCGTTCCACGAATTTCGTGACAGACAGACAGACTTATACGCAAAAACATGCAAACATTCCTTAACCCGTTATTACAAGTCATGATGCTAACTACGAATATTTTACTCATTATGTTTTTTAGAGACTCCATGGTAGGTAGACCATATGCTGGGAAGGGAGGGTGTTGAGACACTGAGGGAGGGGGAGGGGGGTTGTATCCGACGGCCGTGTGCAACACCTCTTGCTCGACCCTGCCCAACTTCTGCAGATGGGTAGAAGAGAATTCCGTCATTTTGAGCCGTCTCCGCGGACCTACTGTTTTCGCAACTGCGTGCAATGACATTCCGAAAGGACAAGCTGTCAGCGAATACGAGTTAAGGCAGAGTTGATCGCTTCCCTACCTGAAAAGGGGTTCAAAATTCTTTCAATGTACAGTATTATAAATTCACTGGATCTGGCGGTAATGACCGTCTCATCCCCAGTGTAATTTAGAAGTGGATTTTTTGAGGCAGTAAGTGTAGGCGCGGCGTGCGCAGAAAGCTTCCCTCCTACGCGGTGTGAATCCTGACGTGTGGCCTTCCATGTTTGCTATTGGATAAGTACTGTGCTGCATAAAAAAACGAAAGCTCGCAATCATTCAAAGCAAAGTGAATTGATGTATTGGGATTTACTTCTTGTTGGATTCTTTCATTTGAGACTCATTTCATTCAATGATAACGATAGGGTAAGACTTAGCATTTACCATCATTTTTGACTATAAAAGAGGTTTTGTCTGGCATTTTCAATCATTTTTTATCGGCTGAAATCATGCTGAGCGTCTCCGACTCCGTCTTGCGGGATGGAGACGCACCATTTGAGGAGCCCTCGCCATCTATAGAGACCGTTACTGTAAGAAAGGACCTATCGGCGATTTCAGGTATCACTTGATTATAACGCAAAATAAACGTAGTCATTTTTAAATTAGTTGCAAGAGCATCCTATGTCAAACACCGTTTCATAACAAGACGGTCAGATAACATTGTCAGATACGATGGAAGTAGTCCGGATGTGGAAACGGTATTTTCGCCAAGATATCGGTGAGTATGCTGTCTTGCTGTAGGAAAAAAAAGAGCTAGAGGTAGTTAACAGACCCAGCTGCTTTATCTTGGCATTATACCTGGCAGTAGACGCAGAAAATTTGGGATGCTGGAAAATGAGAATAATTTGGTTTGCAAACTAGAACTTCGCACTAACCTTACACGAAAACTTGCTCATTTCAAAAACACCGACGTCAACAGCGTACTCCGAACGGTTTTCTAGATGTGCTTATTAAATCGGGGGGCACGCGGAAAGCGATAATGCGCGCAAAATGCAAGCAGTGTAAAACCGCTCTTGCCAACTTTTGCAGGATTTCACCAGTGGCATCGAGTCATGTATGCCCCCCCCCCCTCACCCCCTACCTTGGCGCCGTGCCATAGCATCGAAGAGTTTTGAAAGGCCTAAAATTTGAGGATTGTCGCTTCCTGCACCACACCCCACTAAATCGCCTTTGGTACAAAAACTGTGCTGCATTTATCGTCGGGATACTCATTTTCATACGTAGCTCGTGTAAAAACGGTCAGCCACATAAGCTTGTGGGCCTCATAAGCTAACAAGAGGATGGTCAGAAATCGAAGTGGCCAATTTAAGTAAGCTTCATATTATTAGACCAGTGCGTCACCTCCGCTTCGCGGAGGTTCGCACTGGCTCTGTCCGTATGCCTTATTCATGCTCCCAAAATGATGACTTTGAAACTCACCGCGTGTTGGTGAACATCACAAATGAATTGTAAACAACTATTCATTCTTGAAGCATCTCCATGTAAGATCGGTAATTTTGAGAAAGAAAAGTTTTTTGCCAAGGAATAAATACGAATTCGAACAGTTATTGAATTTATTTTGGCTTGGTAATTGTTATAAAGATAATAGTCATTTTGGGCTACATTTCCATGCAAAAATCTTTTCAGATAATTAGGTAAATCCTTGTCAAATCGACTCTCTACGCGATCACTACTTTTTGGCGCTGTTTTCGCGGAAAAGCAAACTTTTTGAGCACTTTTTGAGCTAGAATTCTTGGAGCGCAGATTTGCTTGTCAGGCAAATCAGGACTTTGCAAAAAGTTGAATTTGTGACCTAGTTTTGCGCGCCAAAAGCAAGGTGGACCCGTTTGAGGCGCAATTTTTGCAGGACCCGCCTATCGAACGGCTCGTCCTTGTGCATGGTGGGCCTACATGCTGGTACGGTATGCTATGCAAAATTGTAGCTCGATAGCTTGGCTGCAGCTGCCTCTATGAATTTCGTGACAGACAGACAAACACACAGACACACGCACAAAAAGACAGACGTTTACCACTTTATTATAAGTCATGATACAGCATAAAACACTGACTCTAAGTCTGTCTTTCTTATCTGCAGTACGCTTTTGTGCATGAAATTAAAAGCCGTTAAAAGCTATTATTTTGTTAGGAAATCGTGCTTGTAAAGGGCAAACTTGGCTGTACAGAACCATTCTCGGCTCAGTGCTGGACCAAAATATGCAGCTAGGTCACTTTATATTGCCCGTACCTAAAGGTGAGCTAAGAGGGCAGTAATGTCTCTAATTTCGCAATTTTTGTGTCCGATTTTTACGCAGTAAAGCTGCTCATAACTTCGCCTACTAAGGCGTTCCGCGAAAATGAAAGCCAGATTTGAAATCAGCGTCCTATGCTGCATCGAATGTTATGCAGCTTGTTTAAATTAGCCACCTCGACTTCTGACCATTCCCTTGTAAGCCTCTACTATAATTGTAGGCCAATTCGCACGAGCGTAATTTCATAAGAAAGGCCAAACAACAGGCGCGCGACCCATCCTGCGGCGGCTTTTGCCTAAAGCGCTGGGCATACAACACTCGCGATCCTCTCAGCAAGACAATTGTTACCATTTCATTGCATGCCGATGATCTTGCATTTCGGTTGTGTTAGTTTTCCGGCACGACCAATCGAGACTAACTTCACAACCGGCATGCAGGTTGATCGACATGCAATGGCTTGTCACAGTTGTTTTGTTGGGAGAATCAGGAGGCGATGAAATTTCCTGATGTGCCCGGTCTTTAAGGCCCTGGGCATACCGCACGCGACTTTAGCCGCGACGCGACTTGGAATAGTCTAGTTGCTGATAACTTGTCGCGAACTCAATTTGAGCACACGGAAAAATAGCACATTTTGTCGACTCATAAAAGTCGAATAACCAAGTATTTATGGTCTGCGATTGTTGAGTTTGAAGAAATCTGGCAAATGGCCAAATCGCGCGCAGTATTGAGACAAGTCACAAGGGTGGCAGATGGAGACGGTCATGCAAAGCCGTCTTCCCTCTAACGGCGCGTCACATCTGCCTCGCAAATTTTACACTGCATTATCGAAAGCACCACTGACATGATGTATCGTCGAGTCATTCGTAACTTAATATGCGTAGTGCACATTAAGCACGCTAACTGACGAACAGCAAAACCAGAACCTGCTCGTTTCCAGTGATTTCTGCTTGTTTCCTGGTCTTTTTTATTTTTGTTGGTTACATGTTAGTCAGTAGAACACAGTTCTACACTTTTTAGGCTAAATGTTTTACTGGAAAGTTACCAGTAAGGGTGCCGTCGCTGATAGGGCTTAGTGTGCAGTCTCACATATTAAGTTACAAATGACTCGAGGTTATGTGTTGACATCACGTTTTCAACCATCAAAGAAACTTAGCAGAGCCCGGAGAAGCTATCAAAATTAAAACCCAAGACTCCCTTTCTTCTCATATGAATCTAAGATTTCTTACAAATGAAGGATTCTTTCTTACCACTATATGTGGTAGGCTTGTAAAGAGACTGGAAAAATCTGCTGAAAGTTTTTCCTTTCTCCACTCATGCCGTTGATTTCTTTTACAATGCTTGTGTTGTTCTTATTACCCAAAAATGTTTGATTTTGCTTCTATAAAAAATGACATTGCAGTAATTTATAAAATGTTTTCTTATGTGACTCAAGATTATTGTCAAAAGCTTGGTCAGTGGTTTTAAGATACTTTTCTTAGCTCTTGTTATGTATCTGAATTCAACAGGTGTCTTATGCATTTTTGGAATTGCGTAGATTCTCGGTATTTCATTGAATGCGGGAAAATCTTTAATGTTTAATCCATTTAGGATATTTCGATGTATCGGTCTCACTTGTTCCATTTGTAGCGTTGTATTTATATATGTCTTGGCGTTGTTATCCTGTTGTTGTATTTCTTTCTGCTGTATCATCATCAGGTATAATTTCTTACAAGTGAAAGCAAAATCAGAGCTTGCTTTGTCCATTGGTGTAACTACAAAATGTTTATGCAGTTCATACAAATCTTTTTGTTTGTATTGGTCTTCTATCATCTCTTTCTGCTCTGTGATTCTATACAGGGTGTCCCGAAAGTCTTGTAGCCTAATTTTGCACTGCTTTAACTCAACAATCACTGGTGATTTTGATCTCAAATTTATACGACAGAATTCTCCAACCATTCTTCGTGAACTACATCCTTGGGGTTAAAAGTAATCTTCATGTTTGACTGAAAAAAAAATAAAATTATCAAACCATTTCTACCTCAAAACGCAAAAAGCTATTTCCTAAAAGTTTAAAATATTCCGCTACTGCAAAAATTTGGCACACCGCGGTGCAAATTTATATCCACATTATAGAGGAGGCTTTGCACTACTATCACTATAATAACTGCATTTGAAAATCTATTTCGTCAAGAGAGGCGAGGAAAAACCTGGAAATTTTCAATGCGTGCCACTGCAACTTTGTCTTTGGAATTAGTTTCAAATCTGTAGAATTGCAGCAGTCACTGAATTTGGAGTAATATCCTCTTCGCATGTTTTCTAGATGGGAATTCAATGCAACACAGATGAGGAACTTGGTTCTGAAACTACATTGTAGCCGATTTCCTATTTTCATTTCCCGCAAATGTGTCCAAAACTCCACCATGAGATCTACACGTGCCTGCATTCAAATTTCCGTAACTTTAACCATAAAACTCACAAATTTTTCTAATCATGGTATAATGTAGCTAAAAGCTTGTTCTATCACACAGCACATTTTCTAAGCGATAGGATTCATTTCCATGAAGAATTGGGACAAAATTGATGATGACTGCCTGCGTGCCTCGGCAGTGGTAATCGCCAACAGTTTGAAGGCTTTCGTTATAAGGAAAGCCTTCAAACTGTGTACCATGAAATTCGAATGCTGTGATGTATTTGCTACTTTTTGAATAATGTGTACACCAAATTTTATATCCCTATGTTGTTCCGTTCTGTTTTTATCAAAAAAAAAAATAAATACTAGGCTACAAGACTTTTGGGACACCCTGTATAGTTTAGGTATCGTTTTACTGATAATATATTCTATGAAACGTCTTCTCAACATGATTTCTACTGTATCATCTGCCTTTAACACATTTCGAAATCTATGTGCCATATTGCTAGCTAGTTCCTCTAACACTGTAAGTATATATCGCTTGCATATGAATGTATGCGTTCATTCTGTATGCGTATATCCTTTACTAAATAACTGTCTAAGTCTTCATTTTCAATGAAGTTTATATCTCCCGTACATATGTGTCCTAAATCCTTATTGATGTATTTACTGTGTTTATTACATTCACACTCTTTGTGTAATATATCATCAACATTACTGATGTCTATATTCTTTAGGAATCTATTGTAAGTGCACAAGTACATTCCTACGGGTTCTTTCAGCTTCTAATTGCAACTCATAACTCTTGCAATTCTTCTTTCCTTTCAGGTATGGCTGTACTTAAGCTTCCCCTATCTCTCTACCAATGCATGCATTATTCAGTTTCAGCCTGTCTCTAATACTTCCTAGATATGGGGCTGTTATATACAGATATCTATGGTCCTCAGTTTTGTAAGGTTTTCTATTCCAAAATGGTCTCGCGACCAGGGCATAGACCACTAGCCTCAATTCGTAATCATAGTTGTTGAATTGGGCATCGAAAGTAACATCAATTAGTCAATTCATCAACTGTATCGTATTTGTCTAAAGTATGAAAGTATTTATACAGTTCATATGTATGCAATTCACTTATGCTGCGTAATATTTCATCTATTCTGTTAGGGCATAATGCTTTTCTCTTTATTCTTTTCTTCTTTCTGCATCTCGTTTAGAAAATTATCTCTCGGAATATGAAACCTATCGCAGGCCGTAGTCTTGGCATTGCAGGAGAAACTTTGGTCTGAAATGGCTGTTATATAAAAACTAGCTAACTTACCTGGCTCCGCCGGGCCCTGACAAAACACTATGACAGAGGTCCCATCCCAATCTCTGTACGACGTTTCCCTGTGCCCACTTTTACATGTCAATTCCCTATCCTCGCTGCTTTAGTAATCATCATGCTCACGAACCTTCCCCCCCCCCCCACCTCGTGCCAACTTACAGCGCGCAGCTCAAACTTTGCAAAATCAACAAAAAAATCGATGTAGAATAAAGTAGAAAATCTGTGCGTCTTTGTTTCTATGCAAATTTCCTGTAGTCATAAAGGATGAAGCTCAGTGATGTGATGGTGTGATGTGCTGGTTCAAGATATTGTAAAGACGGTGAGAAGCGAACCCAAGACGCACGAGTCGGAATTACAGGAATGGTAAATTTTGCTACTTGAGAGATCAAGCACGATGGAGTGTCCAGAACGAGGTGGAACTCGGGATGCCAACTCGTAACTTATAATAACGGGCTAAGAGTTGTCTACATGCTATTTTGTGTATGTGTGTCTGTATTTTGTAGCTGAATTCAAAGATCTAGAGAAAAGCTCTTGAGCTAGAATTTTGAACATAGCAGCCAATCATCATGTAGATAAATTATGTGAAAGCACAACCTGATCCGATAATAAACCCTTCAGAAACTGTGCGTCAAACGGATTTACGCGACTTTTAGCCTGCCGAAGCGTGTCGGCAATTGAACTCTCTGTTAACTCGTGCATTTGTTTGACGAGTAGATTCGTATACCATGGACCCTATCCCAAAAAATGAGCAAAAACTTTATTTTTACGCGAAATTGTCATCAAGGACAAATATTTGCTTAGATGCTCGATTTGTCAGTTTCAACTGATAACTGCGGAAATTTTTGTTCAGAGACGTGATCACGGTGGCCATTGTACCTATGGCGATCGTGCCATAATAATCCCAGTCATTGGTTTAAAATTGCATTTAATCTTGAGAAACTTTCTCCCTTCGAAAGCACCTCAGACAGTCGAAGGAATATCCAAATGGCGCGAGTCTGCCACTTCGCACTCTGAAGCGCTCCGGAGCCTGCCATTTCACCCATTTTGGTGCTTCGGGGCTCTCCCAAATCTGGCGCACCTCCGCAGCAGAGATTTCCGCGTCCCAGAGAGGGGTCCCATTCGCCTGCTTTTGTCGTCACCGTGTCGTCACCGTGACGTCACGGTGAAAGAATGAAACCCCTCTCCGGGACGCACAAATCTCTGCTCCGGAGGTGCGCCAGATTTGGGGGAGCCCCGGAGCACCAAAATAGGTGAAATGGCAGGTTCGGGAGCGCTCCAGAGCGCGAAGTGGCAGACTCGCGCCATTTGCCATCCCGAGGTATCCCTTCGACTGTCTGAGACGGTGACTTTCAAGCCACCATTGTGCGAGCACGAGAAAGGCAACCAGATGGTAAAACCAATGCGAGCCTTTGCGAAGCAGAAGTGACGCACTAGTATCAATAATAATCTATGAATAATAACAACCTTACCTCGTTTTGAGCGATTTTTTGCTAAGAAGAAGAAGAATAAGCTTGTGAGGCACTTTGAGTAGTACGGTAGAAAGTTCGAGAAACGCCTAGAATGCGAACTGAAAGTCCGTACTCGAAAGAGGCGCCGATATTAGAGTAACTCAAAACAAAAGCAGCTCCATGCCTTTTGTAAGAGCTTATATCTAGAGAATTACGCTGTGAGCGAGAGATGAAAAGATTGCAAGCACAACAGAGTGAAACTGAGGAGCAACTTGTACGTGTAGAATCAGAACTTCGGGATTCGAAATGCAAAGTGGAATCATTAACAGAAGAGTGAGTCAACCATTAAGCTCTTGCTGATTTAACCCTTTCGGACCTGACTTTTTCCCCGTAGGAAAAAAATTTTTTTCTCATTGATTTTCACTTATAGGCACATAAATAACACTTCAGTTAAGTTTAGGAAGTTTTCGACCATACAGTAAGAAATTACAAAATGGTGGCATTTGCCACCAACAAGCTTTAGTGGAACAGCTTTTATAACACCTTACTTATCTACAATGGTATGTTCTGAACAGTTTCGATGTTTTGTCAGGCAAAGATGAACCTTACATTTCTCACGCAGAACTCGAGAACGTCCTTTACAAGATTTTAGTTTACATAGTTGTTCGTTACACCATCTTCATGTATCGACCAGTGTCCTACGCTGTCACAGAGGTCTCAATCTCAGCTGCGTTTTGCTGGAACGGTAGTAGGTTGCATTTATGATATTCGGAAAATTGGACACCGGTCATATTTGTTTTGGTTCAATCGCGATGCCAGAGAACCTTCCATTTGTCATCTTCGTGCTCTTTTTCGTCGCTTTCTCCAATGTCTCCAAACTCCTTGTCAACATCATCTTCGTGATTCGGCCGCAGCTTCTCTCAAGGTGATTTGTTGAGATATGCCAGCTAGATTCTTGTCGAAGCTCGTTGGTGGTCCGTCTTCTAAATAAAAAGCCTTCCATTAAAGTTCCATTAAAGCCCACTGGTGGCAATTGCGTACAACAATTTTGAAGGTGACGGCAAAGAGTCAACACATGTGGACTCACAAAATTATTTTTGAACTCATACTCAACGATTACAATGGAAATATGAATAAAAACACAATGTTCTAGAAAAAAATTGGCACTAACTTATCAGATTTCGAGGTCGAGCGCGATCCAGTGTTGCTTCGCACGCAAATGCTTCTGATACTAACGAGGGAAGCTACCTAACTTAGCTCGCGCTTTTGGAATAACACACATATATTTGGAATCAGCTTCGAACGCTGATGCCAAATATGCTGTACCAGCTGCCGCGCATCATTCGCAACGGAGTTAAGAGACCTCCCTCCCTATGACTTGCTCTACCGGCAAGTCTATTGGAAACACGAGAACGACTAGCAGAGGTCGGTGAAATGGTAAGTGTCTCGCTTCATAAGCTGATGGTCCGGGGTTCTAGTCGTACTGCGTGTTTTTCGTTTTGCAAAGGTCCAAAAACCCAAACATGGTTCACAAGTGTTCGATCATGTCTACGTGCATCTTGTGAGTGGGGTTATCATAAATCAGGATGTTCTGCCCCGAGCCCGCCCAAAAATCATTTGCAACCGAAAAGGGGCAGCATTTGATAAATCCAAAATGTAAAGTTTCTATGGTGAAACTAGACGCCGCAGTCTGAATACACTGTTAACAAAAGCGTATTCTGAACACTGTTGAGGACTTATGGAGCGAGACACCTTCCATTTCACCACACGACCTCTGGTATTCATTGTCGTGTTTCCGCTAGAATTGCCGGTAGAGCGAGTCATAAGGAAGAAGGCCTCATAACTCCGTTGCGATTAATGCGCGGCAGCTGGGAACAGCATATCTGGCATCAGCGTTCGAAGCTGATTCCAAATATATGTCTTATTCCAAAAGTGCAAGCTAATTTAGATGCTTCCCTCTTAAGTGCAGAACGAACAAACTTGCGAGTGCATGCACAGATAGAAAGCAATAGGCCATCCCAAGCTACTATAACTAGGAGTGCTAGAAACATGCTCAAGCGGCGATGCTACAGTTCTTCAAACTTGGTGGTGGCAATTGCCACCGCCAGGTCCCAAAGGGTTAATGCAAATTGATAAAACTCTTTATTGAGCAATGTTTGCTTATTCGATATCAAAATTCGACGATAGAGTGGTGGGCAATTATTGAGTTATAGGTGACTTTGCAAACGATGTTCAGGATCACAACCAAAAAAGCAAGAATTAGAGACATGGAAGTAAACGAGAAGTTGTATCAGCGAAGTCAAGAGGAGATGGAGACGAAAATAACACTGATGAGCAAACAATTAGAACAATTGCAGCGTCACTATGAAATTCAAAAGGAAAGAGTGCGTAGTATCCTTCAAAAAAAGACTTAACTTGCAAAAACTGTTTACTATTTCATTCGCTAACAAAGTAGAAGTGCTCATACAAAAGAACATTTGCAAGTTACTCTGAGGTTGTTCAAAGTCGGAGCAAAATTTTTAGTTGATAGCTTATAAGGCAAGCGAAGAGAAATGGGAAGCAAAGAAAGCAGAGCTTGATGAAGCCTTATACACAAAAAATAACGCTGTTGTTCTGCTGCAGAGAGAGCTGCGAGATGTCAAGGACGAACTTTCAACCAGCTGGGAGGTAGATGCTCATTTTACCAGCTTCTTTGTACGACAATATTACACCCTCAGAACGCAAAAAATGCAGAGCATGATATTTCACGCATGCAAAAGGAAATTGAAGAGCTTCGAAGGAATGCTGAGATTGAGCGTAAGGAATACAAAGCCTCGGTTGAGGATTGGCGGAATCGACTTGAAAACGCAGTAAGCTTTGAAGTCTGTTTGAATGCACAGTAAATAAAATAAAATATTAGGGGTTGTCTCATGATTGATGCACGTTTTTCGAACCACTTTTTGAGAGAGCTGATTTTCGAAGTAAAAACATTTTTCTTCAAAATCCCTTACAGTGTTTAAAAGCCCGATTCCTCATTTGCTTTCATTTTCGCAAGTCTTTGTTGAAGCCGAAGTTTCATGCCTTCAAAGACAAGTGGTCAAAATATATAATACTTTCCCTTCACTCTCCTTGCTCTAACTCCATGAAAAGTAAATGAATTCTTTTAAAAAAATATGCGTAACAATCGCGAAGCTTTATGCTACAAGATGCTTGTCAGTATGAAATTTTTGAAAAACTCTGAGCTCAGAAATCTTGTCTCAAACTTGGCTGGTAGCTGAGGCTCATCTAAGCTGCATAAAAATCTCAAGCAGAAAGCGACTGTATAAATTCCGCTATGTTCGCATATAGACCTAGTACAACTAATGCTAGGAAAACGGCAATTTCATCATCTTTTCGAAGAGAAAAAAATTTTTAAAAAATCCCAAAAAGGCAGTTTTTTGCATTTTCCAAAATACTGAAAAAAATGGGTACTTCCAGTTCTTTTGCAAAATTTTCTCCCAGAAATATGCCGTAAAATTCAAACTTCACTCTATTGCACAACCGACCATCGGCTACATAATGAGCAAGGTCCGCGCGATCCTAGTACGTTTGAGCGAAGGTTAAGCTCTCTCAAAGTATAGGTTTCTAAGAAAATGTTCGGGAATTATTTAGGCTATAAAATCTTTCTTAAAGTGGCTGCGATCCAACAAAAGCGTGAGTTTTATAGTCAAAGGTTTGTTGCTTGCAGTGATTTTTTTTGCGCTCAAAAAGATGGTTTTGGAAAAGAGTTACCTTAATTAGAATTTGAAATTCATAAAACGTGCGTTAATTATAGACAACCTAATATTAAGTTAATGCATAATTCCTGCACCAAAATAGGTACAAACCGCAATAATCCGGAATAATCCTATATCTTAAATAGGATTCGATATATCATTAGATAGAGCAAATCTAGCTCTACAAGGTAGTGCTTGAAGTTTGCAGCAGCTTTGATTCAAGCGAAGATTGAAGCCGAAAACCGAAAAGATTCAAGAGCCCTAAAAACCAAGAAAAAATCGGAAGTCCGTTCAGGAAAATCTTTAAAATTTCTAACTTGCTCATGCATTGTTATTTCGTATAAGACATCTCTCTACGCAGTTACTGTATTCTTCTCTTAGCTGGAAATTACGAAAACGAAGTTTTCATGTTTTTGCCAAATTAGTGCTGAGATGTTCTAGCACCAACATTTGTATAATACATGCCATAAGCAATGAAATTCTACATTTTCAGCCCTCTAAAACAGCTAGTTCACGAGAAATAACGAATCTAGCTCTGTTCATCCAAATTTTTCTTGCCTAGTTGCATAAAATTCGATATTTCTCGTAAAGCTGCTGTAAAAAGCTAAATGTTCACCCTCATGCTTTCAAATCCTGTAGTACACAACTGTCAGTGCTAGAACATCTCAGCATTGTTATGGAAAAAACATGAAAAACTTCGTTTTCGTAATTTCCAGCTAAGAGAAAAATACAGTAACTGCATAGAGGAATGTCAAATACGAAATGACAATGCATGGGCAAGTTAGAAATTTTACTTCGCTTAAATCAAAGCTGCTGCAAAACTTCGAGAACTATCTTGTAGAACTAGATTTGCTCTATCTAATGATACATCGAATCCTATTTGGGATATAGGATTATTCCAAATTATTGCGGTCTGTACCTATTTTGGTGCAGGAATTATGCATCAACCTAATAAAATACAAACAAAATAGTGAATCGTGCAACACAACTGCCATAATCGTACTATAGCGGTCTCACAATGCACCATCTGTCTCACAGGTGTCTCATCTGTCTCATAGTTGTCAGTGACATATCGCAGGTATGTGGGTGTCGGGATTTCGCGAGACCGCTTTGCTCGCCTTTGCGTCGCTTTCGCCGACGTATCCTTCAAGTTTTTTCACGCCTGACAAGGAAAGCATCTCAAACCGCAGTGGCGAAGTGGAATAAATGCATGTCAGAAGAAAAGAAGTGAGAGAATTGAGCGTGAATAGTGGTTGGAGGCTGAGTTGAAGAAATGCCCAAAGCATACCTCCTGCAAATTCAGTTGCTGCGCAATTCGTCGCGCAACAACTCTTTACCACTAAGCGTAAACGCTTTGCGGGGACGCTGGGACATGATGCGTTTGCGACAGTACTCAAGCTACACGTCTATGCATGCATATGAGAGAACGGTAATTCTGTAAAGATCTGGCAGAATGCCAAGGTCGTGGAGTCTCAGCGAATTGACGGACTCGCTGAAGGTATTCCTTGGGCCCAAAAAATATGCTTGCGTGAGGTGCAAAGCCAGAAGACAGCTGCGCGAAACCCAAGCTGCACGAGCCAGCGAAACACTAAGACATTGAGACAAGGTGTAAGTAGGAGGGTGTGAATACACTGTGCACACAAATCTGTACCACGGTTCTTTATACAACAAATGATTGAGAGGACAAATAAGCCGATGCCTAAAAGTCAGCTCATATAATCCTATTTGGCTAACCACCGCCTACGCTAATGCTTAGAGTGGAGACGTCCTTTCATCACATGAGCGACCGCTGGGGCAACTTAGATAGATAGGTACCCAATCTGTAACTACATTGAGAAGTTCGGGTGCCAAACTTGTCTGTTGGCTAACTTCAAGCGGCTTGGGGTCGAACATGGAATGTACAGTGATGTCATGCAAGGTCTTACTGCTTGCTTCAATCAACAGCATAAGAACCGCTTTTATAAGATAAATTACCACCCACAACGTTTCGGAGAGGCTTTCTTAAAGGCACCGTCCACCCAAAATGGAGGTTGGCGAGATTATGATGGCATACTAGCGTGGGCCCCCATACTAGACAAACCCCCAAGTTTCGCCGCAAAAGACTGCTTCTGAAGCGAGAAATCCGCTCCGGAAGTAACAAAAGTGGGCGGGGCGCCCCCGGTCGCCCCGCCTACTTGCATGCTTTATCTCGCCTGCACTTGTTGCAGAGGATTCTCGAAACAGGGATTTTTGGGGGTATCGCGAATTTTCGACTCCATATTCGGAATCAGGGCTTTCAGAAGGCCTGAAGGCGACAAAAAATTGAATTCGAGTTGGGTGGACCGCCGGGGGCGCCCCGCCCACTTTGTTACTTCCGGAGCGGATTTCTCGCTTCAGAAGCAGTCTTTTGCGGCGGAACTTGGAGGTTTGTCTAGTATGAGGGCTCACACTAGTATGCCATCATAATCTCTCCAACCTCCATTTTGGGTGGACGGTGCCTTTAAGATGAGCTCTGAGCATAACGTTTCTCTATTAATAATTTGTTGATTACCTGAGCGAAGTTACCAATTATAAACCTCAAACTTTTTCGCAAAACTTTCTTTGTTGAATACATCAGCGATGGCGCTCATTTTTTAAGTAAGGCAATTTATAGGCAATTTAAGACATGTTCCCGCATCTGTGCACCAATAATATAAAATACTATGATACCTTTGTGAAAATCAGAGCAGTTTTGACTTTAAGTTAAGACATAAGGCTCTGAGACATAAACTGTGAATGTAGAAATTAGACTAACAGATTATTGCACTCAGTACTCAAGTTCATCGTCATAGTACACCGCTGGAGTTTTTTCTGCCTCGACAGTCTCAAAAAAACATCAACGCCTTGGTTTGAACATATGGTTGCAGACTAAAACTCAAGTAAATTGCTGTTTTTCTAGTTAGCAGAAAATCTAGCTACATGTGCTGCTGATGTAGAGCGAAACGCAATAATGGCCCTCGAAATGCGTGAAAAAACTGATGAGGTACGTTGCTGGTACTTTGTTTTCCTGTGTAGGACACCAAGTTCAGGCTCAAAGGCTAAAAGATCTTTTGGACGAAGAGAAGCGAACTACGCAGAAGCTAGAACAACAATTATCTAGAAAGTTTAACATGGGGGAGACTGTCAGTTTACAATACTCATGTGTTATCATTCGTTAACACTAAAAAATATGAAAAGACTTTGCGATACTCCAGCAAAGTAAGCTCCAAAGCGTGTTGACTTGCAGTTTATCTGTTCCCTAACAGTCGGAGCATTCACGTAATACTACCTTAGATTTGCCACATTCCACAAACGAGTTAATATACCAGCGGCCCCCCCCCCCCTCGAGAATGGGTTGTGTGATTTTTGAAAGTTACTTATATGAATAATAAAATTGTGCAATTGACTTATTTTTACTTGCAAATAAATGGGTTGAAAATTTAATTTAATCTTGAAACAATCTTTTCCGGGGCACGCTCCCTTTTCTGGAATTTTGGGGTTGTAGGCCTACAAAAATTTTAGGAAATTTATTTATTTACGAGCAGGCATCCCGGGTTTCACTCCGGTAGGAAGCCAGTCTATCAGTCTAAACTCCCATTCTACACACCCTGCACACCCTGCATATCCTGCGCATCTTGCATTATTGGGAATGTGCACAAACACACAAACTCACAGATTTTCTGCTATATATCATGACTTATAATAAAGCGCTAAACGTCTGTCTTTGTGTGTGTGTGTGTGTGTGTGTGTGTGTGTGTGTGTGTGTGTGTGTGTGTGTGTGTGTGTGTGTGTGTGTGTGTGTGTGTGTGTGTGTGTGTGTTTGTCTGTCTGTCTGTCTGTCACGAAATTCATAGAGGCGGCTGCAGCCAAGCTATCGAGCTACAATTTTGCCTAGCATACCGTATCAGCGTGTAGGCCCACCATGCACAAGGACGAGCCGGTTCGATAAGCGGGTCCTTCAAAAATTGCGCCTCAAACGGGTCCACCTGGCTTTTGGCGCGCACAACTAGGTCACAAATTCAACTTTTTGCAAAGTCCTGATTTGCCTGACAAGCAAATCTGCGCTCCAAGAAGTTCAAAAAGTGCTCAAAAAGTTTGCTTTTCCGCGAAAATAGCGCCAAAAAGTAGTGATCGCGTAGAGAGTCGATGACAAGGTTTTACATAAATATCTGAAAAGATTTTTGCATGGGAATGTAGCCCAAAATAACTATTATCTTCATAACAATTATCAAGCCAAAATAAATTCAATAACTGTTCGAATTCGTATTTATTCCTTGGCAAAAAACTTTTCTTTCTCAAAATTACCGATCTTACATGGAGATGCTTCAAGAATGAATAGTTGTTTAGAATTCATTTATGATGTACAGCCTCGCGCGGTGAGTTTCATAGTCATCATTTTGGGAGCATGATTAAAGCATACGGATAACAGAGTCAGTGCGAACCTCCGCGAAGCGGAGGTGACGCACTGGTATATATATATATATATATATATATATATATATATATATAGAGTTTATCTTTGCATTTATCCAATAAGTTTGGGGTCTGCTACTCTCGTAAGTCTCTTCCATAAGTTCTTTGTCTGTTGCTTGTTGTTCCTTCAACGCAAGTTCTCCTAGGTTTGCCTCGATTTTATCTATCCACCTTAATTTAGGTCTTCCTCTCTGTCTTCTTCCTGGGACAACCATTGATAGTGCCAATCTTGTAACGTGTTCATCTTCTTTTCTAGTCGCTTTTTTATACCACCAAAGACACTTCTCTTTTGACTTTTTCATGATTGGAGCGACCTTCATTGTGTTAAGTATGGTATCGTTTGAGATGTGGTCCAGCATAGTCACGCCTGCGGTCCATCTCAGAATTCTTGTTTCCAAGCTGACGTTCTTCTTTTCGTGTGCACGGCCAGCATTCGCTGCCGTAGAGTGTAGGTGGTCGGATAATCGGGCAGTAGATTTAAGACTCTAGGGAATTCGTTTATTGCGAAGCACTGCAGTGAGGTCTCTCCATTTTACTCACGCTGTATTTGTTCTGCTGTTTATCTCGTCGCAAAGGCTCCCATCTGCAGAGATACGGCTTCCTAAACATTTGAAAAAGGTGGTCTTTTTTATTTGCGTGCCTCCAATCTGAACGGTTCGGGCGTCTGGGCTCCAGCTTCCATGTACTCGGTCTTGTTTGCGTTCACTGTCAACCCTGCTGTTGTAGCTCACTCATCCAAATCTTTTATGGACTTCAAGCTCCGTCCTGCTTTTGGCCATTTGGAATATGCCATCCGATGGACGCCGACGTTTTTTTTAAATCTTCTGATTTCCCACTGCTGTTTTAACTGGTGGCATTTTTGTAGATCATTTTAATCCAGTATTCTTCCGCTGCCGTGTGCTTTCGCAGTTCCTCCCATACGATGTTATGCTGCACCCTAACGCCTTCTTCAAATCTAAGAAAGCTGCGTGTAGTTTGCACTGCTTCCCTCTACTTCTTCTCATTTACTGTATCCCTTGACGAATCCGCACTGATTTGGTGCCAACTCTACGATTCTTCGAAGCCGTGTCTCTAATGCTCATTCAAAAATCTTCAGAGTTTGGCTCATGAGTCGAATAGGACGATACGCCGTGCAGTCAACTATGTCGCGTCGATTTTTCCATATCGGTACTGTTATGTACCTGTACCAGTCTCTTGGAATTTTTTGTACTCTATTATCTGGTTTGGAGGTCTTGTAACGTATGAAACCCGCTCTCTCCGCACTTCTTCCAGAACTCGTTGAAAATGTCGTCCGGCCCTGTAACCTTGCCGTTCTTAGTCTTTGCTATGGCATTGGGAACTTCTTCCTCAGTAATTATCGCCACGGGTCCATGCACTGGTTCAGCTGCGACACTGGATGCACATTCATGTCTGGTAGATGCCAGCTCTGCAATGCAGACGTCATCGTTCTTTTATCTCTTTTTGGTTTACTCAGCATTTTCCCACTTACACCTTCACATTGCAGAAGTGATAGTGATCTACGCCTTTCACGCTTGCTTTTTTTTCGGCTACCTGATAGATATCGCTTTCGCCCTCACGTTTTAGTCTACCGTACAGCTTCGTCATAGATGCTTCTTTCGCATCTCTGACACTTCCTTTTGCTGCACGCTCAGCGCTGTATATGTTTGGTGGGCACATCTTTTGATCTTGTCTTCTGCCACCTTCTGTAAGCTATCTTTTTACTACTTATCATATTCTCCACTAAATCATTCCACCACCAGGCTTCTTTGTCAATTTTCATATCGGGTTTTGTACGTCGTAAGAGTTCTCCAGCTATGTGGTGGACATTGCTCTTCAGAGTGGCCTACGAATGTTCCGGATCTACCTGTGTTCCGGTAGCACATATTCCATGGCCATTTTGGCGTCGAGGTCGTTTTTGAGTCTCCATCATTTGACACATATTCTAAAATTCCTCGTTGCCCTCCTTTGCCCTTCCGCTGGGATATTCAGATCCATCACCAAAGGGTTATGCTAAGGTATGCAGTTCTCGCCCGGAATGACTTTGTTTTTTACGTATTTGAGCTCATCCTGTCTTACTGCAGAGAAGTCTATCTGCGAATTTCTGCCTCCATTGGAAAACGTTCAGGGTGACTGCGTCTCTTTTTGAAGTAAGTATTTCTCAATGCTAACTCGCGAGTTCTAGCAAACTCGAGAATGCGTTCGCCTTTATTATTGCGTAATCCGTATCCGTACTTTCCGTGACACTTTCCTGCACCACGTCGTTGTACCCCAACATGACCGCTGAAATCGGCTCCAATCAGCAATATGTCCCAAGGAGGTATGAGACTAATGTGTTCGTCAGCTCTCCAAAATGCATCCTCCTCAACTTGATCGCATCCTGTCTGTGGTGCATAGGCAGTGGTTATTCGCAAAATCCGTTTCCATTCTTTATCTCAATACTCATAATTCGGTTACTCACTCGATCCACATTAGCTATTCTGTTCCTCAGCACCTCGGAGACGACTATCCCGACGCCCTTACTGCTTTTACTTGTTCCATTGTATAGGAGTTTGTATCCATCTCCTATATCGCATGATTTTTCACCTTTCCCTTTCGTCTCCCAGACACGAACAATGTCCACTCTACGTCGTCTCAGAAGATCCGCTAGTTCTCGGGTGTCGTGTCATTAGAATCCACGTCGATGGCGGCCAGTCGAAGCTTTTCTGAAAATCTACGCCGTTGCTCAAATTTGTGATTACTTAAATTTTTTGGTCATCTTCGCTCTTGTTGAGAGGGTAATCGCCGTTCACTGTTTGTATTCGTCGGATATGAGTGCGCAACCCTTTACACGTATCAAGGGGCAGTTTTGTCAAGTAGCTGTCAGTAAGGGACATTTTCAATTAGTAGTTTGCTCCACACATATGTACATAGGGTGTCCCAAAAGTAAGTACACACTTTTCAATTGTCAATATCTCTCTTCCCATTGTGTCTCTTTCTTCTACTTAAGTACCATTCTGTACAGGAGGCTTCAACTTAAATTTAAAGTATCGCGCGAATCATTGATCATCCTTTAGTACAGTAGGATTACGGTACAAACTTCGACAAGGATTTTAGGCCATTGGAGGCCTTATTCTGCCTCGGAACAAAACCAAACAAGCCAAAAAATTCTTATTCTACGGCAATGGGAGCCGCTGATTTCGAATTTGATGTTCCCGTTTTACTGTGATGCTTTTTTCCTAAGCTATTTCCGGTAAGTCGTAGTAACTCAGTTCCCAGCGTTTGTCAGAAATGTAATTATACCGTCAAAAAAGTTGAGAACATTCGTAAAAATTTGTGTGGTGGAATCAGCGTGCGCGAAAACAGTAGACGTAGACGATATTTCAGATTCTTTGCAAAAAATTTGCAAAGATGGCCTATTTCACAATGGTTCCGCATGCTGGAAGTCCTTACCGTAATCCTACAGTAACGAAGAACGATCGGTGATTCGACCGATACTTAAATCTAAGTTGAAGCCCCCTCTACAGAATCGTACTTAAATGGCAAAAAAAGACCCATTGGAAAGAGAGATATTGACGATTGAAAAGTGTGTACTTACTTTTGGGACACCCTGTATATTCTCAATTGGTTGACCATTTTTTGATTACAAAAGCTAAATGAAAGATGCCTCAAATTGTCATAGATAGTCGAATCACTCTTCAAAGATGGCAATTTTGAGATCACGTTTGGCTTTCCAGAAAAGCTACTTCGAGTATATTGGAGTTGGTGAGCATGAAATCAAGGACCATCAGTTAGAGCTGGAAGAAAGCATCGACAACTTTTCTACAGAGCTGCAATACAAGGAGGCCTGTTTGTTTAACTAACTAGCTATATTAGTCACTAAAAGCATGCAAAGTGCGGAATCATTATTGGACCTGAGGATGGTCTTGTCGTGGACATGTTGTTCCCTTTCCATAAATGCTTTTCTTCAAGGGTTCTGCTCAACAAACATTGTACGGGCCCCGTAAAATCCAATTGCTCATGCGTCGCTTTGAACACCAATGCGCGGCGCGGCTGGAAACGTTTGGTCCCGAAGCGCTACAAGCTTTTTGCGAGCGACAACGAGCGCGCACCCTCACATAATTTTTTGAACTTTTGAAGGGAGCTTTCGTCAAGATATACCTTGCATTCACGATGAAAACATGAAAGCTAAAGATTTCTTGGAAAATAGTGAACGCCGACAGTCGTTCGCGACGACCGCTCGCTTACGCTGGTGTTCAAGACAAGGCGCGGGCAATTAGGTTTTACGGCTCCTATATGATCATTGCAGCTTCTTTGCTCTTCCACTTTCTTTTGCTTGCGTTTCGAGCTGGTAATTTTCTCGAACCACTGATTAATTTGATTGAAAACACTCAATAAGGAAAGGATACCAACATAAGTGGATATTGATGACGAAATGTATATCACTAAAAGCGTAAACGCTGATTTCAAATCTGGCTTCATTTCCTGCGGAGCAGCTCTACGAAAGAAGCTTGGAGTGCTTGAAAGTCCAAAACTATTATGCCTCAAGTGGCATAAAATAAGCGGAAAGCTCTATAACACTCGAAAGTGGTTAGTTTTGTTTCAAAAATATTGACTACAAGGAAGGAACAGTCAGTGGAAATCCGCTTAGATGTTTTTATAAGGCTTTTTGCTGATACCACTTGACGCTTGTAAATTTCAACTTCCAAATGCTCATAACTTATTTTGAAAAGCTGTTTCGCGAAAAGAGGGAGATTTAGAATCAGCGTCTAATGACGCGTCTAGAAGTATACATCTCTTCTTCAGTCGCCAACTAACATTGGTATCCTTCTCTGTTAAGATCAGTATGTCACATACACCGACTTTTCAAAAAACGGCAAGAAATTATAGCCTAATTTCATGATGGAAGGTTTAAAAACCAGCAGAAGTGAGGTGAAGTGCTTGTTTAATCCTTTTAAGTTACATATTTTGGTAGATTTTCACCGGGTGGATGAACGAATGCCATCAATCGCCGCCTCTGTTGACTATCAGTCCTTGCCTATACTTTAGTCTATGAGCATAAAATCGACAAGGCGGCGCTTATCGGAGGTATTTGTTCCTCCAGCCCCAGGTAAAATTAGAGAATTCTTTCATAATACGTTTGAACAAAAAGTGTGAGAACGATGATTTCGAGTCTGTCAAAAAACTCCGATCCAGATTATCAAGAACTTGGTTGCAATTCTCTCCGCTTATAGGTAGATACATAGCTGCGAGATAGTTATTAGCACTCAGTTCAAAAACGTGGAAAAGAAAATTACCGTTTTATCAATACATTCAATCCCTTTAAAACTTTCACATGCAAATCACGAATTTCCAAATGGAAGATTTTAGCTCGACTCCGATCTAGCAGATGGACAGTACACAATTACACAGCTGAGATGCCGAATCAAAGCTTTAGATGACGATAACAAAAGACTTGAGGTCGAGAAAGAGCAAATCGAAAATCGATTAGAAAGAAAAACGAAGTTTTTGAAAGAGGCTTTGATGATAATGAACTGCTTAAATCACGAAGTCTCAGCCCTCAAATCACAGTACTGCGATCTTGTTGAAGAGAACATCAGCGAAGAAGAAAGTGCTTTGAATCCACACTTCCTCCACCTCATGGCTCTCGTAGAGGCATACTGTCGACAATTTGAACAGTTGGAGTTACGTACGAACGACAACGAGCACACTTTACATGGCCAGGACGCTGACCTTGCCGAGACAATCAGTGATCTTCAATATAGAGTAAGCACTTAATTGTAGACTATGCTGCTGAGGTTGATGCAGAAATTGATTAGTTGTTCGCTGCCGATCAGCGACAGGCTGCTTACGAAAAGGAAAGGCAGGAATATGAAGTGTGCATCAAGAGATTGAAAGATACCAACGTAGCAGCACTCAATGAGGTCTGTTTTCGTTCAAAGCGAGGAAGTCAGAGCTGAGCATAACTCAAGAAGCTTACTCCAGGTTGCTCAACTAAAAGAGCAAATTCTGCATTTTCTTGAAAAGGAGTCCAAGAGTAAAGAGCAGATGGAGGCGTTGAGTGCAGACATCGATGAGTTGAAAAACCAGCTCATTACGAAGTCGGACCAAGTAAATCATTTGACAGAAGCGGTAAGAATTTGTTGAAAAATTTAAGGTTAGATTCTGAGAAATTACGATTTAGCTCAAAGATTCGCTCTCCGCCAACGTAAATCACGCAGAAATGCTTGCGAATGTCAGAAACAAATTCGTTGAGAAGTTGGAAAGTGCGAAGTTTAGAGAAGTGAGTTCAATACAAACTCCGCACTGCAGACTCAATCAGAATTCTCTGAGGTACATTTTTGAATTTTAGGCACTTCAGTCAAGAAAATGTGATGAAATACATATGAAGCTGCTGAAGAAGGAAGACGAATTGAAAGAATTACAGTATAGATTGACTAATTACAAGGTATTTTTTTACGTCTTTTCTCGGGAGCTTGGAGGGCCTAAACTTCTTATGAAAACTATTTAGAGGGATTCATGGTTTACGGTCATACGGTTGGGGAAATGATGAGAAGTTGTCATTACACTTTTTCTTCATATCGGTCATAAGTCAAATTCTGGACTTGTTTTTGCTCTCAAAGCCCACAACAGGTACAGGCCGTCTAGCAGCAACACGCCAGCGTAGTTAGCCGCAACGACACGCGCGCGAGCTAGCATCTTACTTAAGAATTATATAGGTTGTAACTTAAGTCTTGAGACACTCTAAATTCTTACGGCAATATGTCATGCCGTTCACATTTTTGATGGGGATGCAGGGCATTCGATAGAGCAAAGCAAGAGGATGTGCAAAAGTTTGCCCCAACTTCGACCCATTTTAAGTGTGCAACCACAATGTGATTCGCACTGTATGCTCAGAAAATCGCGAGAAATTCATATCTTCGTTCAAAAAAACCCTACGAATTTCCAACTTGCTTACAAAATTTGCATACTACATCAAACACTCATAACACTCATACACTCGTTCCTGAATTCCCCTTATTTAGAAATCGAGAGAACGAATATTTGCAGTTTAATACGAAAACGAAGCTAAGTCGTTCCCACTTATGTAGTTGTATCAAACTGCTGTCTCTTAGAAGTATAAACATGGATTATCAGTCTCCCAGAGGCCCTAGTTTTCGAGAAGTATTGATTTTTGCTCTCCTCACTCGGGTGTTTCACGCTAAAATCAATATTTCTTGAAAACTAGGGCTTGTGGAAAGCTGAAAATTTACGGTTATACCTTTAAGAGATTGTGGTATACCATTACATAAGTGGAAACAGCTTATCTTCGTTTTTGCGAAAACTTGAAAATTTTCGTTTTCTTGATTTCTAAATAAGGAAGAACAGAAAGGCACATATGAGTGTTTGATGTAGTGTGCAAATTTTATGAGCAAGCTGGAGATTCGTAGGATTTTTTTTTTGAACGAAGATATGAATTTTTCGCGATTTTCTGAGCATTCAGTGCGAGGCACACTTTGGATGCACAATTAAAGTGGACCGAAGTTGGGGCGAACTTTGCACATCCTCTTGCTTTGCCCTATCGAATGGTGCTCTGGATCCCCATTAAGAATGTGAACTGCATGACTTATCGCCATAAAAATTTAGAGTGTCTCAAGACTTATGTTACAACCTAATAGATTCAATATTTTACCGTTTTTTGCTTATTTCTTATTCATTTCTGCATAATTAGGAGCTATAACTGTTGTCTATAGACATAGTGTGCTGGGTAGGCAGCCGCTCGCTTTTGGTGGTGTGCTGCACTGAGCGGGCGTGTCGCTGTTAGAAGCATTGTAAGTCTGATTGGCAAACTGCCAGTTGGACATATAAAGGGCATTCATCGACGATGCCCCGATTCGTGCATTTACACACCGTGAGCTAGCCTTTTTGGCTTTCCAGCTCGAAAGTACCCTGCAGCTTGTCGGGACTTCATAGCTTGCAGCAACACTGTCCTTTCCTCTTTTGTTTGAAGTACTTCACATCGTTTTCTTCTTCTTAGTTTTCATATTTCAGTCAGTCATTCGTTTTCCCTTCATCTTAGGTTCTCTCGATGTTCAAATATCCAACGATCTTCTTTGATGAATACTGAAAGGTAAGGAAGAATTTGCTTACGTACATTTCTTGAATACCTCTCCCATTCTACCCACCAAACATCCTTTTTCAAAATCGTGAACCATCGCCTCAGGCAAAATTAGGTGAAAGGGTTTGCTTTGTTCATAAGCAGTTTTGGCCATTATGGATTTTGTTTGGATGAGGCCACTGTCATGTTTACTTCAGCACTCTTACATGGTGTTCCTGATGTAGGGGTGCCGAAGTAATCAATTCAGTGGTCTGTCCCAGGAAACATGTCAAGTCATTACAAAACTTTGAAGCGAACATGCAATCCTAATCATAGCCATGAATAAATTACTGCAACTGCAAAAAAGGTCATTCTTTTCTCTGCTTTGTTCGCGGCGATGATCTCACATATACATTAGAACGACTGATTCCTGAAATGAAAAATAAGAAGAAAAAACGAAGTGAAAATCGTAAATTAACCAAAAACGTTAAAGGACAGGGATGCTGCGAGCTACCAGGTCCCCGCGCGCTGCAGTGTACTGTCAAGCTGGAAAGGCTCCAAAAAGGCACGCTTGCGGTGGTGTAAATGCACGAAACGGGCTGTCGTCGACAGATATACTTCAATCGATGTTCGGCACGATGTGGCTCTGAAAATTTATGTTAGAAACAAAGTGTCCATCGACTTTGCATCATAAATACAACATCGCCTATGAAACGCTCATGAATGAATCAAGCAAGGAAAACAAAAAAGATAAATAGAACAAAATTACAAGAAGAACATCAAACGTATGAGTAATCGACTAATGATGTTCGTACCCTTCGACTTGACGGCGTCGTGTCGGCACGCACTACCGCATACTGGAGCAGTACTGCCGCTACCATTCAAATTTCTTAAGGGCTTTAACTTTAACTAAGCGAGAAGGAGGGAGTTTGAGAAGGTTCAAAAGTCTCAAGGCTTTGTGTGATTAATGTTAGCAAAAAATGTGGAAAAATTATGTTAAGGGAGAGAAAAGCGACTTTATTAGCTCTGAGCCATCTCAGGTGGCTCTCCAGGTGGCTAAAAAGGCTCCTGACTTCAACGACGCCCTTGATTCACAAGCCTTTTCATAATTTTTCACATCCACTTTTGGTAACCATCATTTTCTCTCTGCTATAAACAAACCTTGCATACCTCAAGGCGCATTTAAATTCCGCGCTTTCACGGAAAGCATTTCGGAGCGGAAGTTGCTGGTTTTGCAGATGAAAGCGGTAGGGCAGTGCTGAGCTCGTCTTGGGTTCGCTTCCCACCGTCCTTATCATGTCTTGATGACCAGATCGAAGTAAGCTTCACCGCTCTCCTTCATGACTATGGGGAATGTGCACAGACATATAGATTTTCTGCTTTATATACAGGGTTGGGGAAAAGTCTTTGAACAATTTTTGATGTCATTGTATGTTCGGATTTTCCACATATTCTTGCATGCTAATTATATGTATTTGCTCCTTATACGCTTAGTTACAAGCCCTCCAAAAAGTGACTATTAGCTTCATTTCTGTCGGAAATATGCCTTTTGGAACGGAGCGAGCGTTGCTGGCGAAGATGCACGAGGAGAGGATGGCTAAGCAGCAGATTGATCAGCGTCTTTTCCACCTTGCGTCGTTTCCAGGATATGAACAGCACCCAGAACTGCTGTATGAGTGATAAGTTGGTTACTGCGGACACTCACAAAGTTCTGAAGATCGTTCGCCAGCGCCATCGTCGCAATTCGCGGAGAAGCTTGATTGAGCTGGGTTCAAAGCTTTTCATCTCTGGTTTAAAGTCTTCGACATCGTGGAACAAAGCCTTGGGATGAAGCTCTTCAAGATGCCAATGATTCATGCTTTTTGGAAAGACACAAAGCTGATTTGACTGCGCGGATACCATGGAATGCCTGAACGTCTCTCCAAAGCACGCCACCAAACATAGTCTTTGCTGACGTCAAAATTTTCACCGTGAAGCAGGTTTTTGATCGCCAGAGCAACAGAGTCATCACCTAAACGCCTCAAGAAACCAATAGCAAGGGTGACTTGCAAAAGGAAAGCTTCATCCGGTTTTTGTGACAATTTGCGCTGCGATCGCTTCCGACAGCAGAATGCCGCTCATTTTCAGGGTCTCAGTGCTCAAGGTGGACACTGCCACGCATGCGAACAGCATCGCGAAGAAGTAATTGTTGGCCTAAACCAATATCCATTTGCCGGGAGCGATTGGTGCTCACAGCAGGATAGCGCACCTGCGCACTAAGTGAAGGTCGTTCAAGCATTGCTCCAAAGCAACGTTAAGGACTTATTACTCCTGTGGAATGGCCTCCGTATTGGCCGGATCTGAATACCCTTAAATACCGCAAGTGGTCAGTTCTTTAGGCCAAAGCCTGCGCTCACTCACGCAAAACTGTGAAGTCTCTGCAACCTGCTCTTCAGGAGGCATAGGAGGAAGTTGACCTGGAGCACCTCCGTGCCACCATGAACAGCATTCTCAAGCGTCGAGCTTGTGTTCGCGGCAAAGGAGAAATCTTCGAATTGTAAAGTCAATTTTGTATAGCAGACAGTTGAGTAAGCAATATCTATTGATTTCATGTAATCATCTTGCCTAGCTTTGTCATTACAATAAAAAGACCGTGTTCAAAGACTTTCCCCCAACCCTGTATATAGATAGGTATAGATTGCGCTGTCAGAAGATTACGTGGAAAGGTTACGTGTTGTTTTACCGCTCCCGAGACTCCGATTTGCGCGAACCAATTGACGATTTTTTCATAAACATTATACCAAGCTGAAATGTGTTTTCCGGGATCTATGCCGAATTCCGCAAACACTATATCCCTTCTGCATTTTACCCCAAAACGACATACAGTCTGCCCCGTAAGCCACCTGTGCCGAGTCCTGTATATAGCTCAATGGTGACTGTGCGGTTCACGAGGTGGAGCTCTTGCCCTCCAACCTGCCAAGCAGGCCTTTGAGGGAATGCGTTGATTGCAAAATATTTTGAGGCTGCTGTAAAGAACAACCCATCCAAAGCGTTACGATTATTCAAGACAGGAAGAGTGGTTGAGGTAAGTACAGGCCCCGTAAAATCCAATTGCCCACGCGTCGTTCTGAACACCAACGTGCGGCGCGGCTGAAAACGTTTGGTCCCGAAGCGCTACAGGGTTTTTGCGAGCCACAATGAGCGCGCACTCTTTTTACACATATTTTTTTTAGCTTTTGAAGGGAGCTTTTGTCAAGATATACCTTGCATTGACGAGAACAACATGAGATGTGAAGGAATATTTCTTGAAATTCAGTGAACGCAGACAGTCGTTCGCGACGACCGCTCGCTTACGCTGGTGTTCAAGGCACGGCGCGGGCAATTAGGTTTTAGGCTCCTATACCTTTGGCTATGTCCTAAAAGAACAAAAAGTTAACCATTCTTGGCCCATATGCAATTTCCAAGTAACACGGAATCTCAATGTGTCCAAAGTCATTGAGCGTAGATCTACGTTCCTAGCAAATACAGTTACTCTTCCTAATCGCTTGACATCCTGCGCTTGTCATTACTCATCAGTGGCGGAAGATAGCACTGTGTCACTCTTTCATAGCGCTGGGCAATTGTTTAACAGTTGAGCTCACAATGAATTACCGGTTGCCACTTGTAATCTCCTTGGATCCGAATCCCAAACTTTCGCGGCGTAAATGAACCACGTAGAGACTTTAATGGCTTTAGAAGTGCACTGCAAAAAGTTTCGCAATCGCTTTAAGCTAATCGCCGGCATTTCCAAGTATAAATTAATCGCATTTTATTGTTAGTTCTAGCTATTGAGATGAAGCGCAATTGCACACTCCTAATTTCACGGAGTACAAGGCGCGGGGGATTTTTTCCAAAATCGACCACCCGAAATACGCCAAAGAACTTCGCAATCAAAGGACCCTATGCTTTGCTGTATATTGCTTAAGAGAATCGTACGGCATAAGGATCGCTTTCCGAAATAATTTGAAGCGGCTGAGGGGCTTAATCAAAAAATCGAAAAAGGTGCGCAATTATTAGGTTGGAAACTAAGTAATGCAACTGGCCTCGTAACTTCCCTCTAACTCAACATGGCGCACTCAAATTTTGCCACTGCGTTAGTTATTACGTAAGCTACGAGGGCAGCTGCTGTCTTACCAAATTCTGACGTCGCTGTGAGGGTTACCGTAGGTGCATGGTGAACCTGAAGGGGAAAAATTCAAAGTTTGACGGATTTGGCTGAAACTTGGCATAGGGTGTTATCCGACGTGCTGGTCACGAAAACGATAGTGAACTTGCGTGATAAGGGCATTTTTGTAGGATTACTGTAGGTGTACGATATGGGGTCTCACCCTAAACAAGGAAAAATGTGTTGATCCAACAAATGAATGTGATATTCGCGTTTGGCAGGTCAAATAACCTTACTATGTAAAGTCTCGGCAATTTGAGCTTCGGACTCTTTAGTCATTGACGGTCGTCCCCGGCAGCTCTTGCTTACATCAACTCGTTCGACTTTATAAGGACGCCAAATCTCGACATGCCCGTAAATTTTGTTTCTTTCTTACTAGGCTAAAGGAGTCAACTTCTAGCAATAATTTATAGACGAATCCGGATTGTTGCGCATGGTCTAGGCTGCCAAAGACTTCATTTTAGCTTTAAACCCCAATAATTCTCAAATTTCACTAGTTTTCGAAAATAGCCTGAAACTTTTTTATTTCACATTCAAAATTTAAACAATTTGTACTCACTTGTAGCTTACATTGCCTTCTAAATAATGCCAAAGTTTGAGTGCGTCACATCCAAAAAGAATGAAGTTATGAAACCAGTTGCAAAACTTAGTTTCCAGCCTAATAAATTATTAGGGTAAATTGGGGTAAATCGAAAGTCATATTTTCACATATCACGACTGATTCGCTTGGAAAAAACCGGAAAGCAAAAGCCGGTTTACATGACAGAAGGTTGCTATTACATCAGTTTAGTCTGGAGTGATAGTATGAAGTAAATTTTGAAACTTGTTTGTTGATTACCATTAAAGGTCGAAGGAAAGTAAAGGAGTTTTTGTTGTGAAATTGCATTGATTTAGGTCAGTCCAGCTCACTGCAGAGATCTACCACATGAAAGGTACGAACAGCACGTTTCAAATCTCCAAATGAAATGTCTACTGAGTGGTACACCAGAGCTACAGTGCTGGCCATAATTATAAAGACACTCTTGGTGCAAAAGTTTTGTCAGTTTTTTCAATCCATTGGGAAACGCGCTAGAATGAAGATAAACAAACATTTCAAGAAATATTTTCCGATGCAGAATTTCTCCCTCTTTCCAGTTGCTAAACTCTAGTTGTGTTTTGTTGAGAGAGTGATGAGATATTCGCTGGAAATTGCAACCATTCGTTTTTACCATGTCTAACTTTCACTAAATTTCAAAATTTTTGCATGAGACTTTCGGAAGAGCCCTAATAACCACCAGACAGGCCAAACCTTTCGCCAACTCAAGCAACTTTTTTCTTGTTTTTCAACTGCTCTTACAGACTTTTGCTAAATAATTTTCTAAAAGTCTTGTGTTTTGGAAAAATCGCATAACCTGTTATTGCACCAAACACTGCAAAACCTACGAACACTGAGGTTTCAACACTCGATTATTACTACCGCTACCATTGCAAAGTAAATAAGCGATTTTCGCTTTGAATTATGAAGACTTTGAAACATAGGTTACGTCAGTGCGCATTCATGAAATTCAGAAATACTGCGATTTTCCTTACAAACTTCGTAGTAATTCTAAAAGACAAGACGTAGGGCTACAAAAAATTGCTTTTGTTGGCAAGAAGTTTGCTCTATGTGCTGGTTATTACGGTTCCTCCGAAAGTCTCATACAAAAATTTTGAAAATTAGTGAAAGTTGGTGGTAAAAACGAGTGGTTGTAATTTCTGGCAAATATCTCGTCATTCTCTGTACGGAACACAACGGGAGTTTAGCATCTGGAAAGGGGAAGAAATTCTGCATTAGATACATTTCAAAGCGTTTGTTTATCTTCATTCTAGCGTGTTTGCCAATGGATTGATAAAACTGACAAAACTTTTGCACCAAGAGTGTCTTTATAATTATGGCCAGCACTGTATTATTACCATTTTCATACTTACTGCTAATGCTTCCCTTTTCGTGAAGTTCTCGCCCATGACTGAAGAACAGTGAAAGTGGACACGGTAATGATGAGAATTTTTGATTTTTATTTGTATTTAGTCCTCTCAAAAACTTTGAAACTACGAAGGGAGAACTGCATGCTCGAAGGGATAACGCTCGAGAGGTAACCAGAAGTTCATTTTTTGACGAAACACAGTTGCTGACAACTGTTAGAATCTAGTCTGCTGCTGCAACGCGTGTCCTCCATTTTCGATTGCACCGCTGTACCGTAAATGCGTATGTCTCACCGTAATTGATTGACAACTTATCTATCGGGTCTTCACTCAGAACTAAGCGATGAAGTTTTTTAAAAATTCAGTTTCTCGCAGTCTGCTCAAAAACTATCAATATGTACCCACGTAACGCACATGCAGAAGTGTCGTAATGTTATAAAAGCACTCCTTGTTGGAATAAAAATTAGCAGATACTTAGGAGCCCGAGGTTTTGGAAGTTGGTAAATATCTCCCTTAGTTTTCCGACTTTTGATTTCAATCCTACAAAAGCAATTCGGGGTTCAAGATTATGGTCAGTTGTTGTTTGCCTTCCCTCTTTTACCGCTATGAGTCATCTGTGCAAAATTTGATTCGACTATAGTAGAGGCTTAGGAGCATAGGTGCGATAGGGGGAGCCGGGCCCTCTTCAGATAAAGGGGATCTCTGCTACTCCCATCTTATAAGGTAAAGGGGGTAATGAGCCCTGAAAGCAAAACGCCCCAATAACTTATAAACCATTCGAAAGCTGAGGTCGTGTAGAATCGACGTAAACCGTCGACTTTTTTCTAGGTCTTCTGTGCCGCAAGATATAAGAGATTTTATGTACTTCATAAATCAACAGATTTTGTGTCCTCACTTTCCGCTCTCCCAATGAATGCTACGAGAATGTCGACGGTCTACGTTGCTTAATGAAGATTTGCTCCGTAACAACAGCAGTGATTAAGTCTTCGTTTGGCAGAAATCTGCTGTTGAAAATGGACATGATTCCACATAGAATGCAGGGTATCTCTCGGTAAAGGAGGGCTAGAAAGAAATCGGCTGTCTACGTTGAATCCCCTTTTCCTGAGCTTTCGAATGTTATATAGATTGCTGGGCGAAAAAACTTGCCAGTTTTTGAAAATGATTGGAGATGTTTACTATTATCTTGCTCCACCCAGCTCCCCCAATGTATTGGCTTTTATCGGTCACCGGAGCAAGTGTATCGTAGTCTAAAATTATTCACGGTTAATCACTGCGTATCTCTGAGCTGTTTTTTTCAGTTTTTGATAAGACCTTTTTGGTTTTTACGAGCATCGACAACTTGGTAGACTTACCACAGAGACTTACTTATTAGTTGGTTTTTTTTCTTGTTTCTCTTTCAAGCAAAGGCGTCTATCTGTTTATCTTTTTTGAAATTATGACAAACCTTAGAAAACCTTAAGGCTTAAAAATAGATATGCTCAAAAATTTTTTCCAGAAAATGTGGAAGAAAGAGGCAGCGGACAAGCATCAACCATTTGGGTTCTTGAAAAAAATTTGAATGTTTTTTGATTCTTATATTCGTTTTCTGGAGTGTTCATATTTCCAAATTATTTTTTCTCAGATTTAGCTATTTTTTTATGCTACAGTATTTATTGTAGACGCCATAGTGTGAAAAAAGTGACTACTGTATTAATTCTCATTGTAGCTGACAAATCTTCTTTTTATGGAATACTAGCTGGCTTACCCGGCTCCGCGCGGCCATGTCAAAACACTATGATAAAGCTCCTATCCCTATCCGTGTACAACCTTTCCCTGTGCTCATTTCTATATACCAACTCCAATTCTCTGTTCCCGCTGCGGTAGTTATCAGCATGCTCACCTATCCCTGTGCGACCCAGCCCCGTAGCTCGAACTTTGCAAAAAAATCGATAAAATCGATAAAAGTAATGGATAAGTTCAATAACTAATATCGTATTCGTAATCAGCATGCTGATTACCCCCTGCGTCAATTCCCAGACCCGCAGGTCAAACTTTGCAAAAAATCGATAAAAATCGGTAAAATCGATACCGATCGGTGGCCTAAAGTAGCCTACGACACCCACCCTGCCTTGAAGAGTATGTGCGCCAAGTCTGGTCCGGATCGGTCCAAAGATAAAAACTTCTATTCGAAACATATGTACATACAGACAGACAAACAAACGGACTTTCAGCCTTTTATATAAGATGTGGTTGATGTGTTCCACGACTGGGGTGAATCTCCAAAGCTTTTTAATGATTCACTCTCATAATACCTTCCCAAATTAGCCTCAGGTGAAGGGGATCATCCGGGTTCTGGCTCAAACGTGAGGGGGGTAAGATCCATTGCTCCCCCTAGCGCAACTCTGCTTAGGAGTGCAGGTTTGGCATTTTACCAAAGAAAATTTAGAGCCCAATACCAATTTATTTACCAGCGCTAATTTAATTATCAGCGATTGTTGGCTAGAACCGCACGAGAAGCGAAACAGTGATTTAGTCGAAAAATGTACAACGATGTTGTAGTAGCGGAAGAGATATCTCAACGATTTTGAGAACGTCTGTAATTTCTCAAATTTCTTATAGCTTTTGGACTCCACTTCAATACACAAGATATGCAGGCATTCCAAAATGACGATTAATGATTGAAAGACTGTAGAGATTCGATTCATTCAAAGTATTAAAATTGTTCATGTCAACTACTGAAACGGCTGGCTGTTAACAAAGTGATTGGATTTTAGTGTTTCTCTTTCACTGGGTTCTGTCGGTCAAATAAATGAATAAAATGATGTTTCAGTTTATGGCTCTTGTAACTCGCGATGATTAACAACTGCATCCTCATTCATGTCATGTATAGACCTATGTGGAGCAGCCCGTATGCAAAAACAGCATTTTTCTTTTGCCAAGTTTGTTGTCGGAGCAAGATTGATTGACAATATAAACCCACCCAAGCCAGCAACTTGATTTTCATTTAGTCTGAAATTAAATGGCTAGAAATTTTTTATTTAATTTTCATCCTCATTCGTGTCATGTATACATCGAAAAGTGATTACGTCTATTCAAATGACGCAGAGCTGAAATGTAGCGTAAAAAGCTCCTTCAAATATCGTTGACTCGTTGACCGCACGGACTCCTCAAACGCTGCGTGACGGCTAAAATGTTGCGAGAGCACGACTTGTACAATGGCGAATTTGTACTGGGCAAGCGTTTTATCTCGCGGCGCGTGCTGCGTAATGATCTCCATTCCGTGCGGTCAACGATTGAACTATACCAATATTGCCATACTTTGATGGCATGGCAAAAATCGTCAATATACCCATATCTTCTGAGTGTAAAAAGTAAACCTTATTCAGCAAATCGGATAGAATAATATTGCATTTTTGCTAGGATGATTGTAGATTCGAAGAAATGGCCTCAGGTTCAGCAGTAGACCGATTTTTCCACACAGGTCGTCAATCGAGCAAGCATTCGTTTCGTCCTGCGTATTGCTTGGCTTTATTGGGACGTTACCATCAGCAAAACGAAGATAATGTACAGGTCGTTTATAAAATCTTAACGAAGGATTTGACTGCAGACTTTGCGCCCACGGAAGCATAAAACGCTCACACAAGAAGACATCACCTCAAAGTTTAGCTCAGTCAATTCAGGTGTATAAATACTATCATAGGTAAGCAAAAGAACTGCCCGACAAGAGATGAAAACTAAGAATATGCGATTTCCGGAAGTGACGTGCGTGTAGCGCGCGGTCGCGCCATCGTCAAGATTTTCCAAATGCCCTATAACAGCTCCGTGGATTTCATTCCCTTTTGAGAATGTACTTATGACCCTCTCGAGGCTGTGTAATTTCGCGATTTATATTGCCTTAAATTTTTACATCAATAATGATGCTGTTATAAAAAAGTGTGATGCTGGCTGTACTGTCACTTCAACTTTAAAAGAGTTGATGTACAGTTTATGTTTATGTCGTTTTTGTTTTTGTTTATGTCGTCGACACATAGAGTCATGTACCTGGTAATCTTCACTTTAGCGCCATGCGAAAACACGACCTTTACCTGGAGAAAAAATAGAAGTCATTCGGGACTTTGTCCCGGATGTTAAGATTACAACTGAATAGAAAGAGATGGAAATGGAGCAAGTATAGGAAATATTATTTTTGCAATATCACAGCAAAACCGAAGATTGCGTTTTTATAGCCTTATTTACATTAAAAAAGTTCTTGTAAACATTTTTACCACAACCACAATCTCTCAAAACCTCTTAGATACCATTAATTTTCATAAGTTAGTGAAAGCTGTTAGAGTTCAAAAAAATAGAATTACGCCTAAATCTTGCGCAAAGAGACGTGAAAATGCTGGTTTAATACTGAGTGGTTTTCACGTTTGCGACGTTGTCAGTGTTTTTAGCCGTTTAATGACGATTAATTGATATGTAATGTTGCAGGTCTCGTTAACACATTGAAGACAGTGCCGCGCAATGGTGCGCGGCGGCCTTACTACCTGTCCATTCCCCTCAGTTATTGTTCATATAATCAGTGCACCGGAATAGGCGTCGCTTCGCCATATCTCACTTGAGAATAGACGTATTATGAATCCAAGAACACAATTCGATTCAACTCGGTGAGACGCATCATCTGCTATATAGAAGTGCCGCAATCTTTCTGGGTAGGCAGGTAGACAGTAGGTTTTCGCTCAATCTTGCAGATTTTTGTTTGATTGGATGGTTCAGTGTGCGATAACAATACTGACATTGCTTTGCTGCTGAGGCACCTTAAGCATACTGTAGGAGTATGGTAGAGAGTTACTCAGATCGAATTTGTCCATCAGCTCAAGATATAATACCGCTCACAGGATGTGCGATTTCCTGAACGTCGCGGAATTCCCGGAATTCCGCGACATTCTGGGAATTCCGGGACATTCCAGGGATCCGCGAAGTAAGAGAAACACGCAAATTAGCAGCACCACAACTTTCTTCGAAATGAATATATTTAGAATCAGAAAAAAGCATTGTGCTTAGCTCATCAAAGCGAATCTTTCGGTATACAGCATGCCCTTGATATGCCCCCTTCTATATAGCAGATGATGCGTCTCACCGAGTTGAATCGAATTGTGTTCTTGGATTCATAATACGTCTATTTTCAAGCGAGATATGGCGATGCGACGCCTATTCCGGTGCACTTCAGTGGAGTGCGGCGCACTCCGCTGCTCTCCACACACTCTAGCGCACCCGCGCACTCTGCTGCACTATGGCGCACTCCGCTAGAGTGCGGCGACTTTTTTGACGAACTATGAGCGGTATCGTGTTAGTCCCGCCCCTTTCGGCAAACTCCGCCCACTCCCATGCCTCTCACAAGGACCCTTTTTGTTCATGAAAAGCATGGATGAGGCCGTAGATGAACGCAAGGACCTCGAGCAACTTTTAGCCAGGCCCGCCCTCAGGCAAACTCCGCATACATGCATACATACATGCGGCCAGGCGTAGGGATGCACGGAAACGTCTCGTCCACAAGGCAGACCTCAAAAAATAGCTCGTCGTCAACGTGTTAAGACCCCGGTGAGATCTACGACCAGAGCCAAATGCCCCGTCCGCTCTGGCCTTTCTCCTCTGCTCGTCTGCGTCTGCGCACATTGCGAGCTACCTCGCTACCTTAAACGCGAAGCGCTTGGCATTTGGCTCTGGTGCCCTTGTCTTAAACCCAATTCAAATAGTTATCATATTGAAGCTCCTGATCTCTACTTTCACGCTGACATCGTCGCAAGATTGATCGAATATCTCTAGTTTCTTCTTCAATTTAGTTTTTCGCAGGTTTTTTGTGCATTCGATAGATCTTGCATCTCTTTATAATGTATGCAATGTCGCAGAGCTTGTTTTTTCGACCATGGCGGATTTCTATTCCAAATCGTACATAGTGCGTTTCTTTTTCACTTTGTTCCTCTTCGGTGTTTTCGCAGCAATTTATCCAACTTGAAAGATGATTGCTCAGAATAATGTGCGCAACAATCCAGACAACATCGCTGGAAACACAAACAACAGTGCGGGGGTAAAAATTTGAAGGACGCATCAGAGACTAGGCTGGCTATGACGTGCATTTCAGCTTGTTGAAAACAAGTTTGCATTTTGAAACTAATTTTATTTTGTTCGTCATCTTCTTAGTATCACCAGTTTCAAAACATGGTTGTTTTTGAAACAATCACATAAAAAAAGTAACTTTTCTTCGTTCTAACTCGTGTTGTGGATTACTGAAGCGAAAATCTGCAGTTCGAAATGCTGCCAAATGAAAGATTTCAAATTTGCTGCAGCGTTTTATCCGGTTTTTGAGAGTTTCTTTTTGCTTTTGCTAACTGTCCTGCATCTATTCACCTCTGATTTATAATCAACCTTCTTTTTCTATGAGGGGCAGATATTCAAACAACCTTCTTTTTCTGTGAGGGGCAGATATTCAAACACTTTTATGGCCCTATCTCTGAACTATCAGAAGTATAGTACAAAGGAAAGATTTCTTTTTTTTGTTCGAATAAGAAAGTGTCGGCACATGGACACTGCGTATGTGATGTGCCGTATGTGATAAATTGAAATCTCTTCGAAACCAGCTTGCACGAAAAGTTGTCGTCTATCTCATTTTCATTTCATTTTCATTTGTACGCTCAAGGCATTCCATAACAAAAAAAAAAACACTTCGAGAAGTCAGTAATACAGCGGAATGAGAAACGTAAACGAATGCAGACATCATCATGTCAATCCGAATCTAATCCTAGTCGGACTAAAGTAAGAAAAATGAAACAGCTTGTTTTGAATATATTGATAGGCTAATGATATCAGTGGCGGTCCGAGGCAAATTGAGAAGCACCCCAAAAATTTTGCGGAGTGCATGGCTGACGCCACGCACCTTCATTCGAAAAAAATTCCCCCCCCCTCGGTCCGAAATCCTGGGATCGCCACTGATAGATATGTATACAAATGTAAGCATTGATAGACATTGATACTCATAACTCCACAACTTTAACTCCAAGGAGATGGGATCCATGCCCCTTCGTTGCCTGCGGGAACGATCTTTACATTACTCTTATAAGCAAACTGACAGCTTTCAAGGCGGGTTCACTGGCCCAGGTATAATAACCATAACCTCGCCTAGCCGAAATGCTGGGGAGGCCCAATGACCCCAAAGGTGAAAAGATTCACATTCACTCCATTTGGTTGAATCAGCAAGCTGCACGATTGACTACTAAATAGCTGAGCGAAATAGATCAGGATGCTGATAAGAGACGGTTAGTAACGAAAACGAGTACACCGAAATTACAAGTATGACGCAGCATGGGGAGATACATGAGAGACGTCAAAGCCATGATTTATAGCCATAATTAAAAAGCAAACTATCACAAGGCCAAAGAGCACCTGAAATGGCAGTTTTTAAAGATGAAACTTGGAAGAAAATGTGGTAGAAAACAAAACCTATATGGGAGATCCATTCGCAACACAGCCGTATAGCACAACTCAAGCAAATAGATACAAGTCCAGCATCTCTGATACAACGCTAATCAATTCCAGTGATAATTGACAAGTCAAGTCTTCTTAGTCTACTCCTGAAAATATGGCTACTATCTGCACTAGTGGTATCAACAGGGAGACGCGTAAGCCGCCTAGCTCCCCTACAAAATACGTTATTGAACATTAGTAAGTCTATCTCCTCGTTTCCTTTTCCAATTTTGTTAATAAAG